ACAAATACTGGGACTCAGCTTTTCCATGCTTGGTTTCAACTCAGGTAAAACATTATGGAAAAGTTGAGGTGAATTCTGATTTTAATTAAGGGAAAGAGAAATAACACTGAATGAAGAATGTATTTAAAAGTTATTTTTGAATATCCATACAATTTAAAATTATGTCTGGACTCCTATCTCTTTCAAATGAAGCAACAAAGTTGTCCTCATTAGGAGTAGTTATATAACTCTGGTTGGGGGTGGGGGGTGGAGAGTAAAATCTATGGAACAAGCTTACTTCAGTTGGCTCCCAGTCCACTAACTACATCCAATTTAAAATTGTCACTATTTTCAAATCCTGCCTGAAAACTTTAGTCCTACTTATCATCCCTTGTCAATTTTAACCTTGTACCAGGTTCCTTTATTCTCAGTGTTATTGTCAGTTTCCTATATTATCATTTTCATACCTCTGTGCATACTTTTTTTCTACAGTATAACTAATCTATGCAATCATTCTGGTAGCTGCAGGTTTAAAAACAATACCAAATACCACAAGATGTTTAATAAAAGGTCATGAGACTTAGCAACAATAGCCCAAACCAGTGCAGAGATATTTGAGTTGGTTCTAAGTCAGCTAGCTCATTTACCTGGGTTCAGGAAGCACTATTTGAGTTGAAATGTTAATTATGAAAGCCACCCTAAGCCCTTTTTTGAGATGGGCAGCCTTAAATCTAATAAATACATAAATAAAATAGTGTTCCAGCAGACACTTGAGTCCGATTAACAAAGCTCCTGTATGCGCAGCAATTTCAGTTAAAAATTATATATAACAGCCGTGGTCATGATGTACTATTTCTTACATTACACACCCCAAAAAGTTTGGAAGGGTTCAATTTTTGCTCAGAAAGTTCTTTCTCAACTGTTTTTCCTCTTAGAACCATGGTAACAGAAGCCCATACTGAGCAAGGGTGTATATAAGTTTCGAAAGGATGTACATACAGAAACACAAGATAGATTGTTTTTCAAGCAGGTTGACAAAGCTTGTAGACAATTTTACATATGACTGAGCATAGAAAAAAAGGAGACAGTTTCCTCTTCCTAGAGGCAGAGAGGGAAGTAGGTTGGTTGGTCCTATGGACTGGATGCCTAACTCTGAAGGGAGAGAAAGGGGTGCTCATGACCAGATACACTTAAACCGATTTCCTTGTGCCTAAGCGTATGTGGAAATGTGCCTGGTGAAGGGCATTCCGTGTGCCATACGCTATTGTGGGGGAGGGGGGAAAATATAGTGCTCATAAACACTACCCTGCCCCCGCCTCTAAATGTAATGCTTTTCTAGGGTCCAGGAGCTGTCTTGCTGGAGTTTGCTGCCTCACCTTCCAAGTCAGCTGTCGCCAACCTTTTTGGCAAGGATGTCACAAATTTAGTCTTGCTGCCTGCCTGAATATCGTTCCAAACCCTGCCCCTCAGTAGCAAGCCCTGAGCCACTGGAATGGAAATAGGGGGGCTCAAGTCTCCAGGCCTCTGGAGCAAAGCAGAAGCAGGATGCTGCTGTAAGATGGTCTTTATTGCCAAGAGTCACATGAAACCTTTCTGGTCCTGTAACCATCACAGTTTATGGTGAGTTGTTGTGATTATTATGTTTGTTAAGTGGCCATGTTCGCCAATCAGAAAAGTTATACAAAGTTATGTAACGGTTGCTAGGCAGACTATAGTTGCCTTTCTGCCATGAGTGTAAAAGATAGACAGCAGCTAGAACTTTCTACAAGGTGGGATCCAGCGTCAGTCAGTCAGTGCCACGGGCCTATTGAAAGGTGCCTCACACAATCACATCACCGCATGTCACCGAAGCCCCTGCCTGATCGTCAGGGTCCCTTCTGCGTCCAACGGATTCGGAATGACTCACGGCAGATTATTACGGACACGGCTCGGCCTTCGGAGTAGCTAACCAAAGGAGGATGCAGAGACCCACCTGATCCCGGTGACCTAAAACCCCTGAGACAACTCACCAGCCAGATCCATCGGTCTCACGCACCATTAGGGCGCATAAGGCATGGTGAGTGAGTTTAAGCTGCTGTGCAGCTACGTTAACAGTTATCAATAAAGATCACCAAGCCTGTTCACTGTCTTCCCAACTCCTCGTGATGTGTGGTAAGACCGACCAAGAAAAGATCCCGTCATGAGTGAGAATCCAAGGCTGCATATACACATGCTTGGAGGTGGGGGCACCTCCTGCTGTAATTAGAGTGATTCCCAGAGAGCCGCTCTAATTAAAACACTTTACTGTTACATAAATTAAGCTCCTGCATGTTTAAAATAGCCATGGGACCCTTTATCTAAACCTCATTCAGTCCCATGGCAATTTTAAAATGCACGAGGGCTTAATCCATGTGATGCTGCAGTGACGCTGGAGCATTCTAATTAGAATGCGGAGCAGGCTCGATTGAGTCTGCTCTAACATGTTCTAATTAGAACGCCAACAAACACATGCATCCCAAAGCCCTAAATTTGGCATTGGCTACATGGCTAGGGAAGGGACACCTCTCTTACAGCATCCTTTCCCTGCTTTCCTCCACACAGGGAGAGGCTTGAGCCCCCCCTGCCTCCATTCTGACACCCTCCCTTACTGAGTACTCAGGGCTCACATACCACACAGCAACTGTGAATATCACTTGTGGTATGTATGCAGTGGGTTGGCCACCCTCACTCTAAATGATTGAGGGATATATTTTGAGCTGTTTCCAGGTTGCTGTATGGGCTGAGTGATCACCTCGTTTTGGGGATTAAAAGCCTTTTTTTTCTCCATGGGGTTGACCAAATTGGGATCTATGACTACAGGCCGTCCTTGGACTTACAGCACAATTGGTTCCTGAAAACTGCGTCTTAAGTCGAAACATTGTAACTCAGAACCAATTTTCTCAAAAGAAACAATGTTATAAATGGGGGACTGCTGGATTTTTTGAAGGACTCTTAGTTGGACTTTTTGAAGGGCTCTTGGCTGGAGTATTCTCAGGAGTCTTGTCTGCAGGTTTTTCTGGAGTCTTGTCTGCTTTCTTAAATAAGGTGTCCAAGGAAGTTTGGACAGATGTTCTCCAGGTAGATGAGCGACGCAGTGAACTTGTTCACTGGTGTGGCATCACATTGGGTCAAGCGTTGTAAAGTCGAAACTGACATCAAAAGCTGAAGCAGGGTGTCAATTTATAAATGTTGTAAGTGGGAAATGTTGTAACTCAAAACGTTGTAAGTTGAGGACTGCCTGTATTTGGCTTCCTAGTAGCATTACGGAAATGTAATTTAGCTAGGGAAGTGTAAGATTTGGAATATTTAGTTCACTGGAACTTGTGGCTGATGTTCACCAATTTGTTTTTGCCCACACTGAACAACTGACTCGGCGGCAGTGCTCAAGAAAAATGTGTGGGTTTTTACCCAACAGCATTCTGGGTCTTAACAGGTGTACTGCCTGCAAGTCAAGGGAAGTGATTCTTCGACTCTATTCAGAACTGGGGAGGTCTGACCTGTAGTACTGTTGTCCAGGTTTGGGCACTGGACTTCAACAGGTGGATAAAGTAGAAACAGAGTCTAGCAGAGAACAACAAAAAATGATTAAATGTCTACTAAACCTGATTTAGGAGAACACGTTGGAAGAACTGGGATTACTTAGTCTGAAAAAACGACTGCAAAGGGATTTGATAACAGTCTGTGTACATGAAGGGCAGTTAAAAAAGGTTAGTGATAGACTATTTTCTGCAGCCACAGGGGACAGAACAAGTGCTAACTCCCTTAAATTGAAACAAGGGACATTTAGGTTGGGTATTAGGAAGAAACTGTAAGAGAGCGTGATTAAGCACTGAAACAGACTACTCAGTGAGGCTATGGGATCTCCATCACTGGAAATGTTTAAGAGCATGTTAGACAAACACCTGGATAACATGGCTTGCACATGATCTTGCCTTGAGCAGACGGTTGGACTATATGGCTTTCTGAGGTCTTCCCAGCCCTATTTTTCATATTATTCCATAACCAGGTCAGCTGTCTTAGGTAAATGAGCCCTGGGATATGGGCAATGTACCTTTTCCCATAGGGAAGGAGAGGAAACATGAAGTCTGCAGACTGGGGGTCAACCCTAGCAACTGCCCTTTACTTCTTCATTGAGGGGATCATACAAAGATTAAAAATGAGCTCTCAGTCCTATGAATAGGTCAAGCATGTCTCTTACTGGTTATATGGTGGGAGCCCTATAGCCTTCAAGTGGATCCAATTAAATGACTCATATGTGCACAAGGGTAGCAGGATACAGCTCCGCATCATCATTAAAGGTGTCATCCCACCCACTGGAATCAAGCCAGGCAGTTTGACCCTTAGCAAACCATACCACTGTTATCTACTCAGTTTTGGAAGTAAAAACTTAAGCAATTGATAATTATCTTAGGGCACCCATATGTGTGAAGAGTGTCTGAGTCTGCTGGAGCATGGCAATTACCATGCTCCAGCAGACTCCAGTGTCACATGTATCAGCGTCCCCATGCTGAAAAATGGCAGCAGGGGCACTTTAACCAAAGCTTGTTCAATGAACTTTAGTTAAAGCATGTCTGGTACCATTTTTCAGTGCAGGGACATTGATGCACATGACGCTTTAGGTGCTTTAATTACTTTGGCACTTGGAGCTGCTCTAATTAAAGCGCCACCCCCTCCCCAGTCTCGGAGCATGTATATTGGAGAACTTTTACTTGCACTACTTTATGGCACTACAATATAGAAGACAGAAGAACACTCTTCCCATGAGCTCTCATGGTGAAATATTTTCTGTAGCAAGAGACTTTCTTGGTCCTTTCTTGACTGTTCTCATTAGTTTTTAAAAGGCTGAATAAGTAAGAGCAAGGGGAAGATGAATGGACAAGCAGTTCATGACTGTTTTTGGCATGTTTGTGCAAGTCAAATTTTCCAAAGTAAACCACTGCCTGATTTCTATTCTTCCATAGAAATGCCAATTATATTAACAAATCTGCCATCTAGAGACAATCTGATGAAGAACATAAAAAAACCCAGATTTTTATTTAAAATGAAAAAATTCATGGTATACCATATTCTAAACCATCCAGCTTTAAAACCTCAATTTGTTTAAATCAATCACTGATTTGATTCTATTAAAAGTTAATATAGTACTGCATAAATAACCCCACCCAAACAATTACTAAAGACAAAGAATTGCTAATTTTAAATCAGCCACAGCTATTATTATTAAAATGCCCAAATTAATCTCCCACTGTGTCCCATTTGGAGTGCAGTTTCTCAGCAGTTTACCAGGAGCCACTGTCCTTCATTACCTTGATAATGCCTTGTGACAATGGCCTATAACACCTTAGAAGAGGAATTCAAGTGCTCTGAAGAGAGGGCTCGCGTAATTTTCATTTCTACCCATCTTCAAAGCAGACAATGTCTTCAACTCCTTTGGTTTTAATGTTCCCTTTGGAAAATGTATCAGTTAAAGACTGTTTCAATAAAATAATAAGTCAGATTCAAGATTTAGCATAAGCCACTGTCTACACAGTTTGTGACAATGTCCTTGTTTTTCTTTCTTCCAGAGTTTTGCTCCAAAGACTGCGTATTGAAGGTAGCTTGAATTTATCCATATTCTTACTGTAAACATTGAGAAATATGCCAGCGACGACTAATAAACCTGACCATACATACCTAAAGGCAAAATAAAGAAGAAAACTTTTAGATATTTATTTATAATTATTTGCCATTAAAAGGATAACATAAATAATACAAACAAAATAAAGTCTCTGCCTCAAGGAGCTGATAGCTTAGAAGAATCTCAGCTAAGAGAAAGCAAGTGATGAGGCACCTTCCCATTTTCCAACTCTTAAATAAACTGGCTGGAGAAAAACAAATTCCTCTATGTTACCATTTGTAGACAAGACACAATTAATTGTAAATGCTTTTTTCTATCTGAGGAACAACCTCAAAAACCCTAATCTGCTGTTCCTTTCTGTTTCCAGAAGCTAAGCTTCTTCAGTTCTACTGCTCATGAATACGATCCTCTACTCAGCAACCTATGCCACTGCCGCCTTATCTCTGATTTCAGGATGTCCTATTTCATTCCAGTACCAAAATATTTGTTTCAGTTGAAATCAGTTAAAAATATGTTTTCTGTAAATCCTTTACTTGGATGAAACCTCTGCTTACATTCTTCTAATATAACTGTAACAATGACAGATGGCAATAAAGTTTAACAATATCTTGTTCCAATCCAGAAGTAATTAGGCTTGATGTAATAATTTAGCCTTATTTACCAATTTAAGCTCTTGGTTAAGCTCCCTTATATCCCTTCTAAAAAGCTATTTTACTGTTGCAAACACATATCATAATTTTGTGTGTCAAAAAAACAGAAGCTTATTATAAAAAAAAAATATTAGCTGAGATTTCAAATTTGAGCCCCATAAAAAAGAAAGCATTTTAATGGAAAATGTACCAATTAGGAAAAGTCTTCTCTGTATCACAAATCCCTAAATAACCGATTTACTAGTGAATGGTAGATGTATAACGGATTTGGTCTTCTGATTTTTCAGAAAGCTGGAAACTGCTTTTTCTAACACAGTTATCAACCACTAGTCAATCATAACAACAAACCACACACTTGTAAGAGATGCAAAATGAAAATTATCAAAGTCTGAGTAAGATTTATCAATTGTACTGTTACACCTTCCATGATCAAGAACCTGATTTAATGCAGTGCAAACTAAACGGACAATAAAATACTTACTGGAACGTGAATGGCTTTGCAAAGAACAAAAAAGAAAGCACTATGGTCATCGCTTTCCTTCCTGTTGTTACTGCAGAGGAAAAAAAAAGTTAACTCGAATTTTGGATCAGCATACAGTCCAGCTAAGATGCTTTTCAGCTTTAGGTTATATTCTTTAACTGGATAACTACAGGACTGTCCAAACTGTTGAGAGCCTTTGGTGAAAATCTCAATTCTAGGTGTGCTGCTCCACTTAACATAAAGCCATTTTATACGGAACTTCTGGTTTGAAAACAGAGTGTGACTGTCTGCTGTTTGCACTAATGGAGAAAGATCAGTATATCCCCAGTATAGATGCTCCTAATACAACAAGATTAATTTAACTCAGTACCTGTACCTTCACTATTATCACAGGTATAAGAAAGTGATAAATAATCTTTGCAAACAAAGATTTCTATACCAGTGGAATTTGTATACAAATGCAAATTAGAAATAAATTGTTTCAGAAGCAAAATGAAGAGCATATGTATGGTTACTATGCTTTAGTAAGATTTGGGTATATTGAACTTTTCACCATTAAAATCTCATTTTGTCACAATCCAGAGATGGGATAGTTGTAACTTGATTTTATTTTGGAAGAGAATGGCACTTGCATTTTATAGCAGTTTCAGAGCCATTAAAAAGTTTTGTTTATCTAATATCAGAGTTCAAAATAGACACATTAGCTTGGTCCAGAAACTCAGAAAGACTGCAATTACTAACTTGCTGATACATATTTAATCACCATCAACTTTAGAAAGCTGTCTGTATTTCACTAATCTCTCTAGCTACATCTGTTTTCACTACTAAAAAGGCAATCAAAGGGTATTAATGCTGAAGGATACAATGCAATCAACATGTAAATAGCGCAACAACCTGGTTACTCTCAAATTAATCACAACTTCCATTAATTATTCCTGTAATATTTCTATGAAAGTACATTTTGACTGAATAAAATGTAAATTCTGCTAACACAGGTAAACGTGGTTATCAAAAGCTACAATTATTTTTGTGAGCAAGTTATCTGAAACTGCTCAACAGCAACTCTCAGACCATGCCTACCCCACAGACTTCTGCCAGCTTATAGTTTTGTCAGTAAGGGGGTGGTGGGCTACGACCCATGACTGATATGGCTTTGCCAGCAGAAAACTCTTCTGCAAGCACTGTTATTATATTTGCTCATGATGGGGTGATTTTACTGTACTGGTACAAAGTGAAGCTCTGCAGGTACGGCCACGTCCATAAAAAGCGGTTTTTACTGGTGTAGCATACAGATATGCCTAACATTTTAAAGGACTCCTAGTGTTATCAGCCTCAGAAGTGAAACTGAATTCCCCCCAAAAAGCATGCCCTTAAAAATCAATAAAAGGAAATATTCTCTTGCACCTGCACTTGATCTGCCCTAATCTCAACTCTTTTGGTAATAATTTTCTTAACATTTTAAGAAGTTTATGCACATCAAATAAAATGATTTTCTATTACATGAAAAATGAAGGAGAATGAAAAAGAAAATTGAGTTTTAATTAGAAAACAGTTTACAGATGAATAATTTAAAAAAATGGTTACATTACTTCAGTTTTTCTAATTACGATTATTTCTGTTCTTTCACCAAACCAGTTATTAATTAAAATATTTATGTAACCATTTCCTTCTAAATTAAGTGCCTTTTCTTCTTTTTTTCCAATTAAGTCTGATAATTTCTCATTCTGCTAATAGAAATACAATTTTCATTAAACTCTTTCACCCCTCTCCCCCCAGTAAGGGGGAGGATGCAGGGGGACAATAATGAATGTGGTGTTCTTTCAAGACACGATAAACATTTTCACATTGCTACAGGCAAAGTACAAAGGGCTAGAGTGCTAATATTGTCAAGGTCATGCACAAGAAAACCTGGGAAGGGTTTGCTATTCTGGATCATTCTTTAACAATCTTTAGCACAGTAAAACACAATTTTGAAACTGTTTAAGCCATTTCTCTCCTATCTGCGCTAAGTCAATGAAGTCAAAAAGCAGAAGTCAAACCTAGCTACTACAGTAGAAGCACTTGATTAAATTATTTTATAGGAAATTAGATCATGCAAAGTTTGAGGTCAGAAATAGATTTTCTATATCTTCCTCTTCATTAATGTGAATGTGGTAGAGCATTATCTGACAGAAACCAGCTTGTGTGGACAGACAAAGAAAAAGGAAAGACATTTCTTGGCACCCCTGTCTCCTCCTGAATCCTTGTGACTGAAGTTTGCAGTTATAAGAAAAGAGAAAGCAGGAATGAACCTTCTGTAAAGATTCTTGACACGCAACCATCATTATTAGTGAGATTTGTATCCCTATCCAGAAAGGCTCAGAGCACTTGTATATAACATCTATAGTTATATATCTATATAAACTATAGGGGGATTAGGGAAACACCTCAGTCTACAGAGAAATGCATATACATGTAATTTTACTCTCCAGAAGTCTCAATCTATTCTTGTTACGAGTAGGTCTGGTTCTTCAAGAGCTGGCCATGATGAAGAGCACTAATTTAAAACGGATGTCTTGAAAATGGACAGAAAGAGAACAAAGGTGACAAATGCATGAGTCCACTCGACTTCTTTTTGTTTCAGTGTTGTAGACAACTCAGTAGCTACATGGATAATAAGGTTGTTTTTCCATCTTATTGTTCAAAACCAGGGAACTTAACAGGCAAGCAAGCAGCTTCTAAGAGAGCTGACTTGCAAAGTCACGATGGAAGAGGGTAACAGTGTTCATTAGATATATAATTTTTGGAGCTAGCTTAAACTACATTCAAGTAACACTACGTATTTAAATTTTAAGACCATCTAAATGATGGTGGCTGAATGAATACAAATATAAGCCACACTGAATGAGTACAGATAATCCCTGAGTCATGGTTTTTGTTATGCTTCCCTTTCTAGCCACCCACCTGCTGTAAAACAGTTTAAGATTTAAAAAATTCTGGTAAGTAAATTAAGTGGAATCATCCTCACTAAGGATGTCAGCCAAAACCCTAATAGATTACACTGATACTTTAGTATTGGAAAAGCTACTCCTCCCCTCTACTTCCCTGTGGCACTGCAAAGTTCATCCATAAACAGATGAAGTTACTTGCCAGTGCAGCACCGAGGCTCTGTGTACTTAATGACTTTAACTTGCAGGTAGATAACAAAGCTTGAGTTGACTAAAGATTTCAGGCTCAGCACATTACTATTCCATATGGCTGACTGCTCAACAAGTATAGCTGGACAGATCCTTGATATATTGTTTGGCAAGGGATTCAAAGATGGGCGATCGGAATTCTATCTTGAGGGAAGAAGTGTTGTTGCGGCAGTTTCTCTTTATCCATGTCGATATGGGTACTGACCTGTGCATAAAGTAGAAGTTGTATTGGTGGTGGTGCTGGTTCTCTTTGTAAATGGATGCATGTCAGATGTCCATGCTACTGAAAAGCTCACAAAGTACTGCTGACTTGCCTGCAGATCCTTGCAGAGATAGACAAGATGTCCCCTAGGTGATTTTCTTGCAGAGCATTCCTATAGTAATAGGGAGTGGCTCCTCTTATTTTAAGCCTCTCTTTTCTTGAGTTCCACAGGATTCTTGTCACCTCTCTTATTCTGTGTATATGGGGCTGTTAGAAGCATTAGTAATTGGCCTAACTGCTTTCAGAATATTGACAGCAGCCATTGTGCATCTACGTTTCAGAACCAGCTGATTCAGTCAACTGCCACGCTAAGTATCTGACTGAAATTGGGGCATATATAAGGGCTGTCTGGAGCAAGATGCAAGCAATGCTGTCAGGCTAGGAAAGCAACTGGAGGATTAGCCAGCATATATCTGCATCTGTGACATTTGTCAACATAAGTTACAGTCTAGAGATATAATGAAGAGTCTCAGCTGCTGTTAGACAATTAAATAGGAGCTCCCTGGGTTTTTAAGACAGAGCTGCTGGTACGGCATTCAGCTTGGGAATTCATTGTTACCCTCTGTCTGAAACATCTTTTTTGCTGACCTACAGGGCTTGCTGCAAAGCCCAACAACCTGCATAGACTTTTAGGGTCAGTGGCTGGGACAAACTCAGATTTCAGAAATGATCTTGAGGGATGCTATTATTTTTAAGAAGGGTAATGGACTACTGGATTTACATTTATAAATGCTATTTTTAATCTCTTTCAGGAATGCCTAGAGCATAGGATAGGCAATATTATTCTATATTTATATTATTTTACTATAAAAATAAATAATAAAAGTCAGAGAAATTAAATATTTAGAACCCTTTATGCTAAGCCCTGACAACAGAAATAAGCATATATTATTATTCCAGTCACCACAACAAGAGTATTCCAGATAAATAAATGGGACTGAAAGGACTAAAAATACACAAATTTCCTCTACTCAAAAAGAGATTACTTTGTATCATGTGTGCAAAGTACATTTAACATTTTTTTAAACAGAACGTCAAACATTTGGAGGTTCAGGGCCACAGCAGAGTTAATCAGGTAAATAATCTAGCAAGGATATTTATAAAAAAAATTTCCAAAAATCTCTTGAAGGCTAAGATTTTATGCTGCAGAAACATAACACTACTTTTTTCCTACCTGTGTCCCATTTAAATTTTCTCTCTGCCCCAAACAAATTCTACTTTTTTTTTTTGGAATAAATTTCTGAGACAACACATCTATAAAGGAAGTTCTTTAAGGTTTAGGCACCAGGAAACCTGTTAAGTTTGTGCAGGTTGCTTTTTCAGGTTGAGACTGTAGGAAAGAAAGAACTGAGATTCTCAAATATACTGCAAGAGTCACTGTAAAAGAACTTTGGAAAAATCAGTTCATAGAGTGAAAGAAGAGTTTAAGCAAGAACAATTCTCATCAGCTTTGTTTTAAATGAAAATGTGGGATTACATTATGCTTTTATATTAAAATACGAAATATGCAATTTATTCATACCTGTTACAGCCAGCAGGGCACCGAAGATTTTAATCAAAGCTAGAACAAAGGATATTCCAAAATACCCAGTAAGTGAAAAGAAGAATGCATAACCATAAGTCTGGACTGGATGCTGCAATAACAACAAAAAACCTGTTAGGAAAATGCAAAACAAACCCTGAGGTATTGCAAAATGAAATAAAACTATAGACTTTAATCAACTGTTTGAGCAATAATAAGCTGTGCAACAATGCATTCATGCAAAGATTCTTATTTAATCAAGATTAAGAAACAGAAAAAAAATAATGAAATTATGAGCTTCCAAGTCTGCCACTTTTAATAAAATGAATCTACTTTGAACATAAACTACAATTAAAAAACCCATGATTTATGTGCAAGGGTCCATTTCCTGCCCCCGCCTCTCCACACCTTTCGTATGCAGCCACATGGGCAACCCCCCTCCACTGCTGCAGTGCATGTCAGTGCACCCAAGCCCTCTTCCCCTCTCCCTGCTGCAGCACGCAGCCTCCACCTCACTCTCAGCTCCTTGTGCTGTGTTGAATAACCTCAGCCTGCTCCATACAGTGGGTGCAGAAAACAGAAGCCAGAAGAGGGTGAGGGAGCCTAGAGACTATAGCTGCCATTGCAGCCTGTCTGATGGGGGTGACCAGCAGCCAGGCAGGAGCCGAGGGACTGCAACTTAATTCTTTATGGGTCACATATGGCCTGCGGGCCACCAGTTGAACAGTTTAGTTGAACTAAACCAAAACTTATCTTAACTTGAAATTCAATCATAGATTCATAGACATTAGGGCTGGAAGGGACCTCGGAAGATCTTCGAGTCCAGCCCCCTGCCCCAGGGGCAGGAAGTTAGCTGGGGTCATAGGATCCCAGCAAGATAAACATCCAAATGTCTCTTGAAGGCATTCAAAGTAGGTGCTGGAACCACCTCCGGCAGCAGTCTATTCCAAACCTTGGGGGCTCAGACAGTAAAGAAGTTCTTCCTTACGTCCAGTCTGAAATGGTCACGGAGGAGTTTGTGACCATTTAATCTTGTTCTCCCTTGGGGCACTCTGGTGAACAGACGTTCCCCCAGATCCTGGTAAACACCCCTGATAAACTTACAGGCAGTCACCAGATCACCCCTGAGCCTGCGCTTCTCCAGGCTGAAGAGTCCCACAGCTCTCAACCTCTCATCATAAGACCTTTTTTCCTGACCTCTGATCATGCGCATGGCTCTCCTATGCACCCTCTCAAGCTTCTCCACATCCATTTTGAACTGTGGAGCCCAAAACTGGATGCAGTACTCCAGCTGCAGCCTCACCAAGGCCGCATACAAGGGGAGAATGATGTCTTGGGATTTGAGAAGCATCTATGGATGCAAGCCAGCGTTTTGCTCACTTTACTAGCCGCAGCATCACACTGAAGGCTCATGTTCATCTTGTGGTCAATCATGACACCCAAGTCCCTTTTGTTCATAGTGCTAGCCATAGTAGCACTGCCGAGCCTATAAGCATGCTGCTGGTTTTAGTTCCCAAGGTGGAGAACCTTGCATTTTTCAGTGTTAAACACCATCAGGTTCTCATCCACCCATTTCCTGAGCCTGTCAAGGTCAGCCTGTATTGCCCTCCTGTCCTCAGGTGTGGATGTTTTACCACAAAGTTTGGTGTCGTCGGCGAACTTGGCCAGTTTGCTTCCGACACCAATGTCCACATCATTAATGAAGATGTTGAATAATATAGGCCCAAGGACGGAGCCTTGAGGGACCCCACTGGTCACAGCGCACCACGATGATTGATTTCCATCAACCACCACCCTCTGGGTTTGACCATGGAGCCAATTCCCCAGTCAGTGGACTGTGGTGAAGCCAAGACCGCAGTTGGCCAGTTTTGCTAAAAGGTGATCATGGGATACCAGATTGAAGGCTGTTCATCTATCTGTTCATATCTTAACTCATACAGTTTTCTTCTGTATGCCTACTCAGGAAGTCAAGTTAAACGAATGGTAAGACATTCCATACTATACTAAGGATAGACTTACCAATGAGGAATCACCAAGAAGTACATAAAATGTTAATATTTCCTTAAAACAGAAGACTAGTTAAACTAGTGCTAATAATAAAACCAGTATTTACCTTCGAGCAAAATGTTATCGCAGGACTTAATCCACCAATGCATATCAATCCCAATAAAATGTACACAAAACCAATTGAATAGGAATACAAAACCTGGAATAGTTAAAATAAGAAAAAAATGTTACCAAACAGAAATAGAAAATGAAATGCTTCCAAATACATGACCAAATTAACAATTTATGCTAGTTGAATCTGTTGTACAACATCCTCAGAGGGTAGAGTTCAATAAAGAGTACTTACAACTGTATAAAAAAAAGAAATCCTTCATTCATAATTAGTCAGTTACTAACTGGTCAGTGAGGCCAGTGCTGATCACAAAAGACACTTCAAATTCAGGATTTCATTACTTAAATAAAACGTCACAATCATAGATCAAAACGCATACAGCAGCATGTGTTTAATTTACAGGGCTCTTAGACAATCTACTTCTAAAAAAATGATACCTCCACATTATATTAAATTTGCAAAAAGTCATGAAATCATTCATTAGGGAATGCTAGAATTAGGGCTGCCTATGCTAGCTTAATTCAAATCCCGTGTGTGCATGCATTATAATGAAGTCTATAATTACATGAGCAAATACCATTTTTTCCTCCTAACAGGACCCCTGATTCTTTCAGTGGTAAAAATGGATGGTACTCACTGAACATGTTTACACTTGCATTTGTGGTGGCTTAAATTTACTGTGCAGTAAGTGAGAATAGGCTGATGGCTACATGTGCAGGCATTAAAGTGCATTAATGTTGTGAGTGGACTGACTTGGGACTAAAGTTAGACCTGAGCCAGTCCTCACACAGGGTTATTGTGCAGTAAGGGGTTTACATGTGAATTACTGTGCAGTAACTAATCTGGCATAAATTTTATACCAGCATGATGCAGGTATCAAATTTATGCTCAAGTTGGTGTAAATTGCCATTTTTACTGTATATTACAGGGGTGTATTTATAGATGTGCACCCACACTGTGCAGTAATTTTGGTTACTACACAGTAAACGTGCGCGTGGATGCGCCCACTGAAATGAGAAGCGTTTTCAATATTTTACCCTCCTCAGTGGTACTGACAAAATCCAAAGTCTGCATCTAATGGAGAACTACTGCTTAACTTACGGGCTTTTCTATCTTATTCTGCTATAAAACCTTAGTTATATACTGGAATAAATTAAATTATTTTCAGGACAGCCCTGCAGGGACATTTTAATCCCCTTTCTATAGATACAGAGGGGAGGCACAGAGATTGTAATGCCAAGATTTTCAAAAGCACCCAATAATTTTGGATGGCCACTTTATGACACCGAGGCCCAGAATGAAAGATTCTATACCATCCTGCTCAAGTCTTGAAGAACTGTTAATGCTAAAAGGTGGGTGGGTCCTCCTTCTGTCTTTTTGGTTTCCATCTTAACAGCAAGATAATGGCTAACAAAAGTCTCATATTTACTCAAATATAAGATGACCCTGGTTACAAGGCAACCTCCCAATAATTGGGTCTATATATGGAAAATGTATAAATTTGTTATATTTTCCAGGTATGGAATCTATTTATTGGAGTTTTGCCTTGATTTCCACCCCCTTCCCACTGCTGCAGCAGAGAAAATATATCTGGGGAGTCAGGTAGCCCCTTTGCCCCGCCTCCCCCCCAAAAAAAACTTCTTTCCCTTGCAGCTCCTTTCTTATTGTCAGACCCTGCTCTATCTGAGCACATGGAAGTGAGAGCAAATTTGAAAACACTACCCTAGAAATAAACATACTTGCATATAGGGCAATTATTACAAATACTCACAGACCTAGTTTCTCCAGAATCACTGCAGTTTATTTCTTTTGAAACTGCTACAAGTTTTAGCTCATAAACACACTTTTAAGCAGCACATTTGTATCTACTTATAGAGAACAAACTATGCATGATATTAGTCCAAAGCCAAAAGGCTCATGACTTACCATACAGTTCACTGGGTTGAGTCCCAGTAGAAACGTTTCAAGTCCTGGTGACCCCACAGTACAGTACTGTTCAGTAGATGTGTGTACTTGATACCCTCCACAAAGGATCCATGTGTTAATTAGCCCCCCACTCAAGATGGGAACCAGGTGTTCTTGTCAAGAGAGTCCTGGGATCCTCCAAAAATATATCTGCAGATGAGGTGCAGGGCAACCTGGTTTGGCTCCACCTCCACCTCATGGAGGATGGGGACACACTAATCATGTGGGACAAGCTAAGGTTGGGGGGAGAGGCGGGGAGGCAACAGAGGGATTTCTGGGTAAACTGTTTGGGGCCCCATTCAGTGATGTTTGCCAGACATTTAAGGTGGATTAAAAACCAGGATTCATTGGAAATGGGAAAGAAAGGTGCAACTCAGGTGTGGGAGTGAAGAGGAAGTTGAAATGTATTCAGTGAAGTGGCTCACCAGGATTTGAAAGAGTCCATGCTGAGGAGGACTGAGTGCAATGGGCATTACTATATATCTTATTCAGATGGGTTGTACTATGACTAATATCATGCAAGGATTTTCTTAACCGATACTGATAGCCAATTATTAACCAGCCATATTGGCCAATTCCAATCCGATAACCAATATTTAGTGATAAAAGTCATCAAATGAGCTTTAGTTCAAGTGCCCCTACTGCCATTTCTAAGTGTGGAGACTAATACATGGCAATATTTTCATTAGAGCACATTCCTCCCCCCCACCCCCACCAAGCACACGTGTAAGTGTCCTGTGCTAGTTGTAGCCCCTGCCTTTCAACTCCAGCCTAGGGACAGCTGCCGGAGTCCAAGGCTGCCCAGGGCTGGGTGGTCTACGGGCACTTTAATCAGAATGGCTCTCAAAGCCGCTTTAAATTAAAATGCCACTGCCCCACTTCCCGGAGACTTCCTTCCCGCCAGGGGAAGGACCCTGCAGCACAGTGGGGAATGGGGGTAGCCCTGGCCAGACTCTGCCTCCAGCCCCCAGGGTGCAGACCCCTAGGCACTGCGAGTTAAGTCACGCTGGCTCGGGGTAGGCCGCTCAGGTCCATCCGCTGCTCCCTGCCCCAGTCATGTCTGAGGCTTTTGGTGCCTTTTATAGCACCCACCTTGGCCCCAGCCCACAGTCTATGCCACATCAGCACCCCTGACACCACAGCAGCTACTTCACTCCAGCCCAGCTTGGCCCGCCAGTGATGGAATGGGGGTGTACTAGAGGTCACCTTGGCTTGTAGGAGGGAACCCATGTTTCTGGGGGCCCCAGCATAATTAATTAATTGGAGAACATTATTGGGTACAATGGCCAAGAAAAACTGACATCCAATGTTAATTTTCCTTTTAGTGATGCCAGTCTGATATGCAACCAATATATCGGTGCACCTCTAAGCACATAGGCCAGGTCTTTTATAGTTTTGCTCAGTGTTGGCTGCATTTAATCAGTTTTATAGCTGATTTCCATTACTGAGCACATGCTGTTTTTAGTAGCAGTTTAATAATAGACAGTGTATTTAAGTGAGGTTTCCTTGTATGCGAATGTAAGATTCACATACAAAGTGACCTCCCCACAATGTTGGGGGGTTGAGGGTGGCAGGGGAAAACTTGCCTATATGTATTTGTGGATTTTCATTATTTAAGAGGATGTAATAGAATCACATTTACATGCTTAACTTCGCTGACTCAAGGCTTTGACTCAGAGTACTTCGAATTTTAAAAGCACCGTATGTACATTCAAAGCAGAACTCCTATTGACTAACATTTGCAGCTGTGATGAACTAGCACCCCTCCACAATGTCAAGTTTAACCACAAAACCATTCCTTTTTCCTTCCAAAGTCTCCTGTCTGATTCACTACTTTCCAACTGCTGCAAAATAATAAGGATCCTGCATACAATAGCTCCTTTGACTATATACCCTAAATATATTCCTATAGCATTGTCTATAGTTTGCACTAAATGAGAGAGGGTGTCCTGCTGGAGGGGTGGGGGAGAAGAAACAGTACGTAGTCCTGTAATTAAATAATTTTATTATGGTGCAATATGAAAGAGTGAATCAGGCTTATACAAGCAACCTTAATTCTGGCATTTCTTAACTTTTAATTGTTCAAGAATGTAAAGGCTGCATACTTTTAACACAATTTTGTATGCAATCTCTTAAATTGTGCAATATTTAAATCCTGGGAAACTAACAAACAAATACTACCGTATAAAGCCACCCTACCCCTCCCCAACTTGCCAAGGTGTTAGCAGGGTTTGTTTGTATCTTTAGAGACTAAGTTGTAGCAAAAGACTGTTGCCTTTTATATGGACCTGCTACAAAAGATGAATGGATGTACATATTGTCAATGGATTTCACACTTATTTGTAGTTAAGAGGGCTTAGATATGCGAATGTAAAATTTAATTCCAGGTTCTGGAATACCGTGTTTTCTTGTAGTTACAGATCCTTCTTCCATTATCCCTCCTGATCCCTTTCTACTTTTCTATTGTCTTCCTCTCTGCCTGTGCTTGCTCATGGTTCACTAGGATACTGTTTCTAGGCTCAGTCTGGGACTTCCTCCACCCCTTTTTGTTCTTTTCCCTAGTCCCTTTTTCTATCCCGCTCTGCTTCTGCCCCTTTCAATTCCAGCTCCTCAATGCTTAGCTCACGTGCACACCACCTGTTCAAATTAGGTTGCATCCTTGTTCTCCTGAGATGCCCACAGAAGGAACAGTCTCTTGGACACTCTCAGTCTCCCTTTTCTCAGTTCTAGTGCCTGGAATTTGAATGGCCTCTTTCTGCTGACAATAATCACTGTAGCATGTCTTGTTCAGGTCCTGTAGCTTTGGGTACATCAGGGGTATCAATCTGACTTGTCATCCCCAGGCGGGACCTGAACTGTGGGGCTCCTCAGAGGGTTATGCTACTACCAAAATAAGTTTTTAAAGGAACTCTGTACCCAGGAATTCAGCAACAGGGCAAGTTGCAGCAAGGGTTCTGAGTTGTTGTGTCCAGGAGTCCTACTGACCAGCTGACACATATATATGCCCCCCTTGGATAGCAGACTCAGACAGGACTTTTATGGAAATGTCTCAGATCACATGACTTTTCTGAAAATGTAGTGAGGAAACTTTAATATGCTTACTAAGCATGTGCAAACTGAGT